CGCGGAAATAAAGTTGAACGGCCACCCTTCACATCTTGTTCAGCATCTTCTGGGCCCTGGGACCAAGTTTTCACATTCCTGCTTCTAGCCTCTGAGGGGGATTGATCCTCAATGGGAGATATCTGGACAGTGACAACGGGGACTCCATAAAACCCATTTAATTGGACAAACTGAAGTTCAGGGGAGGCCTATATCCCGTGCCTAACTGGAAACCCTCTTCCCATCCCACGCCTGGCACACACAGGGACATTCATGTCCCTGGTGACTAAGACACCCCCCCTCCAGCTCTTAGGGTCCCTACCCATTCACCCCACCCCGCGCCTCCCCAAGCCTGCATGGGGCTGCCATTGCCACCCTCATCTCCAGCCTTAGGTGGCGATGTTGGAGGGTAGCTTAGGAATACTAGTCAACCTTTGGCTGCTGTAGGCTGGGCAGCTGGGGAAGGAGCTGGCAACTGGGCTAGGAACAGCCCACAAACCCGGCTGAGTCGTTGGGAAACTGAGCCTGTTTCTCACAGGGTGCTGCAGAGTGTCTCAGCGTCTCTACACTGGAGGTAGCAGGTTACAGTCTGGATTAATGGAGGTGGATAGAGCATGGGAGCCACAGGCAGCCCCACTGCCCCTGGTTGTGGTCCATATGAAAAAGCTAAACAGCTAAGCTCTGATGCCATCTGAACTCCTGGGCTCAGAGATCCAGGGGTCTGGGTAGGTTGAACCAGAGCAAGGAACCCAGAGAGGGTGGGGTATGAGAAAGAGGATTTGGGCGCTGGGAGTTTGGCTCAGGTGGGGAGGGGCTGGCGAGAGGGAGCCACGCCAGCATCCAGGAAGCCTGCTCTGTGCTCCATGGGCCTTGGTTAATTGGGAGGGTGGGGATGGAAAGCATGTTGCCTTCTTCTGAGAAACAGCAGAAGCCCCAGAAAACACCCCCAGATATGCCACACACACACACATACACACACACATTCTGGGGAGATCTGACACCTGGAAATGAGAGGTTTATAAAAAGAACCCGAGCTCGGCCCAGGGCACGAGACAATGCCTCCCCCCACTCCACCTGCAGCACACCCCTCCAAGACCCAGCTCTGCCTGAGACCCAGGGTCTGACTGCTGCTCACCTCTTCGGCCTCGCTTCCCTCCATGCCCCTCCTGCCTACCTTGCTCCAGCCACACTCGTCTGGGTTTTTGTTCCAGAAACCAGCCAAGCTCACTTCTATCTCAAGTACTTTGCTTTTTCTCCTGCCTGGAATGCCGCTCCCCCTGATTTTTGCATGACCGCCTCCTCGTCATTCAAGGCTTACTTTAAATGCCACCTCCTCAGAGAGGCCCTCCCTGACCACTCTCCTTCCCTCAGAGGCAAGGACACCCTCCTGTCCCCACCCCTTCTCTAGTGCTACTATGTGAGGGACACGTCACCAGCAGGTCCTCTTTCCCCATCCCACACACTACCCGTGCTATATGTACGCAGAACACTCAGTCCCCGCAGATCACACGCAGACAACACCCGGCACGTGCATACGCACTGCCCGCAATACAGGGCACATGCACCTTCTACTCACAGTAAACAAAACCCGCACCCCAGCTTCGAACGTTCCGCCCGCATGCATGCCTGCCGCGTAGGCCCAGCACTGTGTGCACACACAATAAAGACACACAGGGCAGCACACTCGCACAACACTCACACTGGCGCTCGTGGACAGGGGCACACACGTGCCTGTGCACACAGGTCGCCCCCCCTTCCTTCGGCAGCTGCCCACGCTCCCTGCAGTGAGCTAGAAGGGAGCGAGCGGTGGCTGGCGGGGGTGCACCCCGCCACCTGGCACGAGCTGCGGATTATTAGTTCCTGGTAATTTAGTGCCCTTGTACAGAGTCGATTTGTGCCTTTCATTCCTAATTGATCTAGTGGCTGTTTAAATGGCAGCAGGCATCTGTTGAGAGTAGGAAGGTTCATCAGGCGCAATAATTCATAACACCGCCTGGAATTTGCCTTTCGTGTCCCTCAGCTAAGCCACTGCAGGCTCTGCTTAAATTGCAGCCGCCGAGGCTTTCTTTGGTATTCCGCTCAGGGCCAGGAGAGTCTCGCATTAAACTGGGATCAGGCTAGATTAGACCATAATATGCTGCGGCATTAGTGGCTGCAAATGAAGACTTACACTGGAGTTTAACCCCTTCACCTGGCTTCCCTTTGTCTTCAGCCGGATGGCTCAGAGAGCCCGCTGTTTCCCCCGTCAGCTTCCTGGGGAAAGCAGAATAGATCTTCTAGAGATTTGGGGCTGCAGATGGGCCACCCTCAGATATTGACCCTTTTTTCCCTCCAGATGAAAACCCAGCCGGCAGTCTTGGGGCCCACCTGCTAATGCATCAGCTCCCAAAACAAGGGTTGGGGAGACAGTGTCCAGGACAGGCTCTGCTGAGCCAAGCAGCTCATCTGAAGTAGGACTATCTCCCTTCATCCCCATGGCCCCTGAGCCTCAGTAGAACAACTAGCATATGTGGGTTTGAGTGTGGATGGGCCAAGCACCTCTGTCTCTTTGCCTAGAATTATTAGAACCCCAGGATGGGGCAGGCTCATTGGGTCCCCACCTACCTGCAAACGCTGTGGAGGCTGAGTGTTCAGTTCTCCTCGCGGGGGGGAAAGCACTGTCTAATTTCTTTTTCAAGTCTTGTTGTGCTTTCCAGTATGGTAGCTACTAGCCACATGTCGCTATTTCAATTAACATTGGTTAAAATTAAATAAAGTCAAAAACTCAGTGTCCTAGGCACAAGAGTCATATATTTTTTAATCCCCACCCTAGGATATGTGTTTATTGATTTTTAGAGAGAAAGGAAGGGAGAGGGAGAGAGAAACATGGATGTGAGAGAGAAACGTCAATCAGTTTCCTCCCGGACACACCCCAGCCTCAGATCTAACCCTCAGCCTAGGTATGTGCCCTGACCTGGAATCGAACCCGCACCCTTTTGATGTTGGGGACGACTCTCCAACCAACTGAGCCATCTGGCCAGGGCAACAGTCATACTTTAAATGTCCAATGGCCTCTACTAGTTAGTGGCTGCCATGTCGGACAGCAGACATTGTAGAACATGTCCATCATTGCAGAAACTTTACTGGGCAATGCTGGCCAGAGCATCCTATTTTTCAGAGGCCTGGACACCAGGCCCAACACACATGCTTCCCCCTGTACCAGCAAACAGAGCTTAACCAAAAAGGAAGAGCTAGATTTCGTGGTCCCAGGGGACTGAGAAAAGAAACCAGAGGGGGATGTGCTGATGCTTTTTCGGGACCACCATGGGAGGGAAGGGAGCTCCAGGATCCAGTGTCAACATCCCGTGCAAACACGTGCACATAGGCTGGGTGTTAAGACATAGCAATTCACAGATGCTGCAGAGAAGTAAGAGTGATACGCACTTATATATGCACACAGGCACACACATATAACATATATGCAGTCAACAAATGCTTACTGAGATCCATGTACCTCTGCTAGACTCCGAGCAGACAGTGGTGAATCAGGTGGGCTTGCATCCTGCCCTCATGAGGCTCACATTCTAGTGAGGAAGGCAGGTGATAAAGCAAAGAGCTCTGGGAGCCATCAGCACAGGGTGAGGGAGCTTCCCGGAGTAGGGGACGTCTCAGCCAAGACCCACAGAGCCGGTCAGGTAAGCCCTTCAGTTCACATAACATCCCAGCCCGCATCACACGCCACCCCTGCTCACGCCCAGACCCTTCATCCCCTAACTCACTGTCGGTCACTGAACATCAAGCGCCAGCTAGGGGCATGCAGGGCAAGGCCCTAAGGATACAATGACCATTAGGACAGGAACAGTCTGGGAGGAAGACCATGAATGAAAACCGATGCAAATAGTGATTTCTTATGGATATGTTAGGTGTGTGATGGTAGGAAAGTGCAGGGAGGCGATATTCCTATAACTGGGTGTCCGACCTGAACTGAGTCAGCTAACAGATGCAGGACAGGTGGAGACTCCTGCCCACCACATGTGACCAGAATTCAGGCTCACCCCCCCCCCCCCCC